TAGGCTCTCCATTGTACTGCGCACCTGGGTCCACCTGCCCCGCATTGTCTGGGCTCGGGGCCCTTCTTGCTCCTGCTCCATCTCCTCATTCGTTTTCCCCTTTTCTTCAGGCCAGGAAGTCTGGGTGCTATCGAAAGATGTTTAGGTTTCAGACAGTTCTCTAGTCTTTGACTTGCCCCAGGAGTGAACCTCGCGCTGGAAGACTAACCCGGAATTTTGGCCAGAGGGAACCACTGCAGATAAGTCCCTTCTCCACTCAGCCTCAGTTTTCTCATTTGTAAAATGAGGGCTCAGATTCAATTATTTACTTTATTGCCCTTTAAAAAATTTATATTTGTTGCATCAATTATTAGTCTATGACCTACTGATTGTATATAATCTGTAACAAAAAATACATTAAATGAACAGAAGTCCAAGATGAAAATTGCCCATGATCTATTGTGTCAAATGACATCAATATTTGTGTTGGTTTCTGACATTTTCCAGCTCTTATTCAGGTTCACATTCAGTTTTAATGGATTTACGGTAATATCACACATGGGAATTTCATATTGAGTTTTAATGGATTTACGGTAATATCACACATGGGAATTTATACTTAACACTGTCCGTCAACATTTTACCCTAAGCATCACTTTTCCTTTTCCTACCTCTGTCTTTTTCCCCTGCTCTCATCTGCTGAGGTAGCCAGTGTTAATAGTTTAGTTTGCATTCATATATAAGTAGAGTATACATGCAAAGAATTTGCATTTGGTGAGAGGAGTCATTTTTTATTTTATAAAATTGGGATCACTCTTTATAGATTTCTCTGCAACTTGCTTTTCTCATTTAATAATATGCTGTGGAAATCCCTCCAGACGGCGGGATAGAGTGCTAACCAGTTCTTTTTTAATAGGTGGCGTAATTCCATGGTACGGTTGAAGGTATTACAGTTTATTCAACCATTTCCTGATTGATGAGGACTTGAGCTGTTTGCATTTCCCCCCCACCTCCCCACCACCACACTAAAAACAATGCTTCTGTTGAAGAAAAGAGTCAAACTCTGTAAAACATTTGAAGAGATTTATTCTGAGACAAATATGAGTGACCATGGCCTGAGGCACAGTCTCAAGAGGTCCTAAGAACATGTGCCCAAGGCGGTTGGGCTGCAGCTTTGTTTTATACGTTTTAGGGGGACATGAGACATCAGTGATTTATGTAAGTAAGTGAGAGTGAACCACGGTGTACATTGGTTCAATCTGGAAAGGTGGGACAACTTGAAGTATGGTGGGAGCTTCCAGGCCATAGGCAGATTCAGAGATTTTCTGATTGACAATTGGTTGAAAAAGTCATTATTATCTAAAGACGTGGAATCAGTAGAAGGGAGTGTCTGGGTTAAAATGAGACGGTGTGAAGACCAACGTTCTTATTATGCAGGTGAAGCCTCCAGGTACGGGCTTCGGAGAGAATAGATTGTAAGTTTTCTTATCAGACTTAAAAAGGTGCTAGACTCTTAATTGATTTTCTCCTGAATCAGGGAAAAGACCGGGAATAGGAAGAGGATTCTCTACAGAATGTAGATTTTCCCCACAAGAGACAGCTTTCCAGGCCATCTCTGAGACATATTTGCAAAGCTAATATATAAAAGAAATGTATTTTGCTGTAAAATAGTTCAGTTTCTTTCAGGGCCTGCTATCGGTCATATGATGCTGTACTAGAGTCAGGTTGGAATTTGCTACAGATTTTGTCTCATTGCTACAAAGAGTCTGCTTCGTCACTCTTAAGAGCTCTGTTAAGACTGTTTTAATGTTTTTTGTTAAATGTTAATGCTGGGCCAGCTGTGCCTGAATTCCTAAGGGAGGAGGGGATAAGGAGGCATGACCTACGCCAGCTTCCCATCATGGCCTGAACTAGGTTTCTTTGGAATGCCCTTGGCTGAGAAGGGGGTCCATTCAGTCTGCAGCAGGACGGGCCACAGACAAAACCTCTCAGACGCTGAGTTGTAGAAGGAAGGGCTTCATTCAGCTGGGAGCATCGGCAAGCTACTGCCTTAAAATCCGAGCTCCCTGAGTGCACAATTTCTGGCCTTTTTAAGGGCTCACAACACTAAAGATTTCACATGAAAGGGTCGTGATTGATTTGAGCAAGCAGCGGGTATGTGACAGGGGCTGCATGCACCGGTGGTCAGAGAGAAACAGAACAGGGCTGGGAGTTTCACAGTGTTCTTCTATACAATGTCAGGAACGTGGGTTTCTAAGTCATGAGTTGATTTTTAACTACTGGGTTTAGGCCAGGCAGACCCAGGCCTGGTGCCGGGCCTGGCACCGGGCTGCCTGTCTTTGGTTTTACTTCATTGTTTTTTTCTTAAAACAGGTACTGAGTATAAAACAATATAAAACAATAGGAGAGAGTCTCTCTCTTTCCTCAAGTCAACTGGAGGGCTTGTTCTCGGTTTACATTTCCATAAACATTTCGTAATCCACATCTACACAGACAGTGGGTCAGGCACCCCTCTCTCCACATCCTCTCCAGCACTCACCATTAGCAGTCTTTTTAATGTGTGCCAGCCAGTCTGCTGGATGAGAAATGGCATCACGGCACGACTTTAATTTGCATTTTCCTATTTACCAGTAAGCGTCTTTCCGTTGGTATGAATTTGGTCTTGATTTGAGTTTGTGAGGCAGAATAGCAGAGATGTAAACCGTATTTGTGGGCTGTTTGGGTTTCCCGTTCTGTCAACTGCTGCTCCTATCCTCTGGCGGTTTTTCCTGCTGGGTTTGTCTTTGCACTATGGACGTGCTGGAACTCAGTGCAGAGTGTTAACTTGCCTTCTGTCAGCATTTTGCACATGTATTTTCCTAGTCTATCATTTGTGTTTTGACTTATTAGGGTATTCGTTTTCATACAGATTTTTTTCTTCATTTTACGTAGTCAGACATGTTTATCTTTTTTTAATGGCTTTTCAGTTTCCCATTTTGTTTTTAAAATCTCCTCAACACATCAGCTGTATTCCTAAGCTTCCTTCTGATTTTTTTTCCATTTAATTTCTCTCATTTAAACATATAACCTTTCTGGAATTTATTTTTTGTCAAATTAAAGGTTGACTCAGACAGGTGTGATGGCTCATGCCGGTAATCCCAGTGCTTTAGGAGGCCAAGACGGGAGGATTGCCTGAGGCCAGGAGTTCGAGACCAGGCTGGGCAACATAGTGAGACCTCTGTCTCTGCGAAATTTTTTTTTTTTTTTTTTTTTTTGAGACGGAGTCTCGCTCTGTCACCCAAGCTGGAGTGCAGTGCCGCCATCTCAGCTCGCTGCAAGTTCCGCCTCCCGGGTTCATGCCATTCTCCTGCCTCAGCCTCCCGAGTAGCTGGGACTACAGGCACCCGCCACTGCGCCCGGCTAATTTTTTGTACTTTTAGTAGAGACGGGGTTTCACTGTGTTAGCCAGGATGGTCTCAAACTCCTGACCCCATGATCCACCTGCCTCGGCCTCCCAAAGTGCTGGGATTACAGGCGTGAGCCACCACGCCCGGCCAAAATTTTTTAAAATTAGCTGAGCCTGGTGGCACATGGCTGTAGCTGAGACAGGAGGATTGCTTGAGCCCAGAAGGCCAAGGTTACACTGAGCTATGATCACACCACTGCACTCCAGCCTGGGCAACAAAGCAAAGCCCTGTCTCTAAACAAACAAACAAACAAACAAAAATTAAGATGGGCTCCAGTGTTCTTTCTTCCATGCAGATAGCCAAATTCAGCATTTCCTGTCTACACTCTCAGACCCAGTGGGCCCCCAACAGGTGGCTGGGAGGTGGCTACCATGTTCGGGGCTAGGAGGTCTGGGAGGTGGTGCAGATGCCCCTCCCCCAGCCATGGCGATATTCTACTTTTGTTGTTTTACAAAATAGGCTTCCAGTAAAGATTTGGTTTGGACAAAGTGTTCTGAAGCTGAAGGAATTTTGAAAATCCCTTTCAGATGATCTCTGGGGGCCCTTCCAGGTTTGACATTCTCTGACTCAATAATGCCCAGGACAGCAACTGCTTATTAAGGAAGAGAAGGCAATGGCTCGGTGTATCTTTATCCAAAAGTAATTTCAATACTGAATTCCAGGTTGGCTCAAAGTGGATATTGGAATCACAGCATTTCAGAGGTGGAAGGGACCTCGGAAATCCTCTAGTCTGGTGCCTCTCAATCCTGGCTGCCTTTAGAATCACCTGGGGGTTTGTTAAAAAGTCCTGGTGCCCTGGACTCATGCCAGACCACGGAAATCAGAGTCCTTGTGGGGAAGGGAAGGGCCCAGGCATAATCTCCTGGTGATTCTGATATGCAGCTAGGGCTGAGAACCACTTCGCTAGTTCAGTTCCCTTATTTCATTAGTAAGTCAGCTGAAGCCCAGAAAAGGTGAGCCATGTATGACACAGCTGGCTAACTGTAGGGTTGGGACTAGAACCCAGATCCCTGCCTCCTGGGTTGACTTTTTCATCTACACCAAGTGCCTCATCAAGCACCACTCCTTGGATGTTTAGCTGGTAACACTAAAGTCCCTGTATGAATGTTTTGTAACTTTGTATATGATCAGCTTAAAAGTATTGGCTGCATGCAATTCTGTGCATCCTGGAGAAACAGACTTAGTTCTACCTTGCAGGACCGTGGTGGAGAACGGGGTCATAAAGAGCAAACTATGATAACAGAGCAGGACGTTTGGTACGGGCACGTGAGAGCGCCTGCTGCAGGGAGGGCTGTGGAAGTGGGAAGGGTGAGTTGCCAGGGAGGCCAAGGAAGCTTCACACAGGAGGTGGCATTTGAATTGAGCCTAGTGGGGGATTGAAGAGGACTCTGATGGACAGAGAATCAATGCTGCACTCTTGCCCGGGGCAGTGATTGGCTGCCTGAGTTTTACGCAGGGGCTCGAAAGGGCAGGGATGGGGGCAGCAGGGTTTCAGGGCAGAAATGCTTTAGTATCAGGCAGGGTGGGGACCCAGCCCGTGTCAGGCGCTCTGATCTCCCTCTGCTCTGCCCGCAGGAATGAGACCGTGCTGCACCAGTTCTGCTGCCCAGCCGCCGACGCCGAGCAGAAGCCGGCCTGCTCCGACCTGGCCTCCCACAGGTGGGAACCGTGGCCCTTCCTCCATTCTGCACCCCCACCTTGCTTCCTGTTGCAACAAAGCACATACCACTGCACTAGCTACTGGGCCTCCTCCTCTTGAGTCTCATGTGGGGTAATTTGTTTGCTTTCACCTCCTTCCTCAGACTTCAGTTTCTCTCTGCTCCCTCTGGACCCCGAATGAGCCATTCCCAACGTTTAAGGTCATTATGCCCTAGCGATCACACCCCAAACGTATGCTCCTTTCTTCTGAACAGCCCATGTAAAATCTAATCTTCGTAAGCAGCCAGGAAAATTGGTTTGATTGGGGATATTCACGTCTCTTACACGGTAGGGTGCCTGGCACACAGTGGTGTGCGCTCAGCCCATGCATAGTGCCCAGCCTTTGTCTTACATCAAGGATTTATACTTTTCTTTCTGGTTTCTCTTCTTCCAGTCAGCCCAGGTGCCTGTCTTTAATTTTCAGGATCTCTCAGCCCTGGCTACATTAGTTGACAGCCTTGGGATGGAGTGGGAGTGTTGAGGTGTCAGGTTTTAGAGGCACAGTCCTAAGCTTTCTCCTCTGTTTTTTCCTGGGTTTTCCTCCTGCCCTCTGCCTCCCTGTCCCCCTTCCTGGTGCTCCCTCTCCGTCCTGGGACCAGCCTTCTCCCTCCGCATCTGCTTCTGTCTCTCTGCCCTTGTGTTTCTGGTTTCTCCTCTTCTGTGCCCATGTTGTGCTCCCCGCCCGCCCCCGGTGTCCTCTGTGACAAGTTTTGGGCCAGGCCTGGGGACATAAAGGCACATAAGGCCAACTTGGACCCTTGAGAAGTTCCCCATGCAGTGGGACATTAGGATACCCTCAAAAGGAAAACTGCTCACCTGGAAATTAGAATGAAGAAGAGAAATGGGAGAATGGAACGGGGGAGGGGGAAGGAAAGAGGAGAGCGTGGAGATGTGGAAGACACCAGGACGCTGTAGAGGAGGACCCTGACTGCCCTGGCCCCTTCCCATGAGCCCTCACTGTTCAGACACATGGCCCGAGTCTCCGTCCCAGAAACTGCCTGCCTTGGTAGGCGGGGAGAAGAGAGAAAAACTGTCTGGCCTGCCTCCAGCTCCATCAGTTCAACTCAGTTCAGTAAGCACTTTATTGATACTAACCAAGCACCAGGCCTCAGTGAGGATGGAGAACACACCCTTGAGAAGCCCAGACCTGGCAGGGGCGGGCAACAGAGACGGTCCTTGGGTTTCCTGTGGTCTCTCCTCCCATCCACTGTCAGCCTGCATGCTCGCTTACGCACCAGCACTCCCCTGCTGCCTGTGTGGTGCCACCTGCAGCCCTAGCTCCAGGTGGGAAGGCGTGGCAGAGAGGCAGCCCCAGCAGCACGCCAGAACGCCAGAACGTAGGTAGACGTGGGGCAGGGGAGGGGTGCTGCCCTCTCAAGGGGCTGGGGCTCCAAGGGACTAGGGTTATTTTCCAGGGTTTGAGGTGGATGATAGGAAACCCATGATCTTAGTTTCCAAGAGGTTTGTTGTTCACCTTCCCCTGGGAGGTGTGGGCTTTGAGGTTGGGGACGGTGGTGCTCTGGGGAGGGAGTGTGGGAGGTGGGAGATTCTCTTGAATGTTGGTTCTTGGGGGGGCTTATACACCCTGCCTATGCGGGCCCTCCCCCTGGGTGGAGACAGGGAGGCTTGCCCCCCAAGATGGTCCAGGGCTTCAGCTGCTGTCTGTCTCTCGTTCCCAGTTACTCCACGTTGTCCTGTCTGTCTGATTTGTAGTTTCCTAGAGCCTGTTTTTGTCTGTCTGTCTCTGTCTGATGTGGCTTTCTTGGCCTCTCTGAGAGGAGTCCCTCTGGATGTTTTCTGGACAGCCCAACAGTGTGTGTGTTTGCTCTTGGCTTCTTGGGGGAATTCTATCCTAAGATAAAGTTTTCCCTGATCAGACTCGCAGCATCCCTGCTCCCAACCCTATCAATGATTCCTTCACTAAACCTCATCCCTTCCCCTAGTCCAGCTGTCCCACCTCCAGAGCACAGCCACAACTTCCCAGCAAGCTCCTCTAGTGGAATGTGTCACAGTCACACAGGCGGGTAGGTCACACAGCCCTCTCAGGAGATCTGGTATGGGCTCGAGCTCTGAGACAAGCCAGGCTCCTCCTCCATCAGTCTGGCTCCTCCCCTGTCAGTCTGGCTTCTTCCCTGTCAGTCTGGTTTCCCACTAGCTCAGCCAGTAGGAATCATGGCCTCCTGAGGATTTCTAGGATCAGCCGTTGGCGTCTCTAGGAGACCCCAGTAAGGAATCCAAAGTCAGTGAATCAGGTGTCAGGGCCTTTGGTGTGCGGACTCAGCCAGCCACAGGATCTCCCTTGCCATCCTCCCCTGCAGTCTGGCTAAGGCTGGCCCCCACGCCAGCTCCAGGGCTGAGCAGGTGCCCTCCCTGGGGCACGGCAGTGGCTGCTCCTCTGGCTGATCAGAGATGTAGAGATGCTGCTCAGCCCAGAGGAAAGTCGGCTCCCTCCCAGAAAGACCCAGGGCCAGAAGAGAGCCTCACGCCTCCCGAAGAGGCAGAGAAGCCTCAGCCCTACCGAGGCCAGCACAGCCTTCCTTCCCCAGCCACCTGCAGAGGAGCAGCTGAGGGCTGGGGTCAGGGAAACTGTCTTGGGGCTGGGAGCCTGACAGGGAGTGGTTCTCCCAGGAGCAGGAACCCCTGAAATTGAGCACATCTGGAAGTGTGGGTGTCTGCAAAGGGAGGCTGAAGGGTGGGCGTCAGCGATCTGGGGTACAGTGGAGCAGCTATGGGGCTGGCAAAGCCCTGCGAAGCTGGATAACCAGATAGAGTTATTATGGGTTCTGCTCTGCCCTGGTTCCCCACACCCCCCTAGGAAGGCAATCTATGTCTGCCAGGGTGATTAGGCCCTCAGGTGGGAGCTGGGGGTGGTGCCTCCTCCCAGCAGCCAGCCAGGGAGCAGCAACTGCGTGCCAGGCTCTTTCTCCCCAGAAAAGATCGCCCCGTGGTCTTTGCCCCTACCGACCGCCTCCCTGCTGCCAGCTAATGACAGGGCTTTATTCTGGGGCGCTGAATAGGCCAGTAATTGCAGCCCTACTTTCGATCCTGCGGGCTCCCTTCCCTTTCAGGCTCTCAGCGACATTCAGAACAATGACCCAGTAGCTGGCCAGCTGCCTCCCAGCATAGAGCCCATTTGTCTCAAGGGTGATAATGGGGCCAAGATGAGGAAGATGGGCTTCTATTAGAGTAATGGGAGGAGGCGGCTGTGGGAGAGGGTGGGGCTCAGGAGAAGGAGGCTGGTTTCAGGAGGGAGAGGAGGGCTCAAGACGAGGAGGTGGGCTCAGGAAGGGGAGGTGCGCTTAGGAGGGGAGGTGCGCTTAGGAGGGGAGGTGGAGTTCAGGAGGGGGAGGTGGAGTTCAGGAGGGGAGGCGGGGCTCAGGAGGGGGAGGCGGGGCTCAGGTGGGGAGGCGGGGCTCAGGATGGGAGGCGGGGCTCAGGACGGGGAGGTGGTAGGCAGGAAACAGAACAACCCCTAGGCCTCCAGAGGAACAAGGGATCTGGGAAGGGGTCTAAGGGGCACTCTGAGCCTCTGCTAACTGAACTGACTCACTGCTGGTCCTTGCTGCTTCCTTTTCAACCACCCCATCCTTACTCCAAGATGGAAGACATATTGAACATATCATTTATTGAACGTGCCAGGGACATGGTGCTGGGCACTCTTGATATTTTTATCTCACATAATTCTGTGAGATAGGTGTTATTCCCATTTACAGATAAGGAATCCAGGATGGAGAGAAGTTAGGTATCTTGACCGAGAGACCACTGCTAATTATTTCTGGAACTGGACAGTGAACCCAGGTCCAACTCCAACACACAACCTCTTTTCACAGAGTTGCTGCTAGAATTTTTTTTAAGCGCTCAAGAGAAATCCTCCCAGCCATTTCACTGGATCTTAAATAACATGTATTTTCTCTGATTATAAGTCATACACGCTAGTTGTTGGAAATGTGGAAAATGCAAAATATAAAGAAGAAAATATAAATGGGACTTCATCATGTAGAATTAACTGATGTTAGTATTTTAGTGTGCAGCCTCCCAATGTTTTATTTTTCTCTGCGTTGGGTTTTACATCCTCCCCACGCCAATCAAAAAAAAAAAAAGAAAAAAAAAAAAGAAAAAAGATTTTGTAATCTGCATTTCCCACTTGGGCGAGGCGTACTGCGCCCCTTTACAGGGCCTCCTACCCTAACCCGCCCTGGTGGCCCACGTGGCTCGCGTCGTCACCGCTAGGCAGCAGCACGGCAGGGGCTCTGCCCAGGCCTCCACCTGGGGTACCCTGGAGGAAGGGGCGCCCTTCTGAGAACACTGCGGGGAGAGCCCTGCATTAGCATAGCTGGAGCATCTCCGCCTCTCCTGCCTCTTTCCATCGGCTGTGATGGGGCCTGAAGCATGATCAATGGACCAGCCAGTGTTTACCCAGCGATTACGGAGCAATTAAATTCTCAATCGATACAGTTTGGTCTTCAAACAGCTGGGCTGAGGCGCCGCGGCCTCACGTGCCTGCTCCAGGAGTGGCATCCAGGCTGCTGAGAAACCGGCACCACCCACTGATGGCTTCGGGTGGCAGCGTGGGTCGGTCGGGCGGTACAGCTGCGTCCTCTTTCCCTAGAAAAGGGCAGAAAAGCCCTCGGCTTCCCCCAGAGGCCCTGTGGGGCAGGCCCACCCTGCCTGCCTGGCCCCAAGCCCCAGGTCTCTGCCTCCCGCCCCGGGAACGCCATGACGGCAGGGGAGGTTAAGGGAAGTTTTCTTTGCCTCCTTCAGGGTTCACTGGTTGGTTGGGAGAGGACTTTGGAGAGGTTGGGATGGGGTGAAAATCCCCACAAGCCCCCTGCAGTGGCGGGAGCATCTTGCCTGCTGGCGGGGCAAGCTGGGGGGCGGGAACCCTGGGGTTTGAAGACTGGGCTCTGGGGCGGGATGGAGCGCACCTGCACAGAGGAGCATCCTGGGGAGCGGGGGCTTGC